ACACCATTCGATCCAGCAGAATCTCTAGATTTAGAATATCATTATTTTGCCGAGCGATTCTGCCTACTAGAGAAAATATAGCTATTTTCTTAGATCTTAAATAGCGTAGTCGCACTCATTCATATACATCGATCACTGTAGATCAATCAATACGATCATATAGCAATATGCGGATTGCCATCTTTGAGGTAACCGTATTCTTAAGTTTGCTCAGAAACATGTGAATTTCTTTACACCGTTCGATCCAGCGGAACCTCTTCATTCAGAAAAATATATATTTTGCTGTGCGATTTTGCTTACTTGAGGAGATAAAGCTATTTTCTTTAAGGTAACTAGCGCGGAGGCGCTCATTCGGGTACATTATATCACTATAGATCAATACAACATTACTATGGCGCTAAAGGGGTTACCATATTAAAAGTATTCAAAGTAACGGTACTCTCCGATTTTCCCGGTAACGCGTTATTTTCTGCACATTGTCAGATTCCCCAGATTCTCTGCTTTTAGAAATGTATGTATTTTGTAGGGCAATTCTGCTCACTTTTTGAGGAATAGCTGATTTTCTGAAGTTGTCTCAGTTGCTCGGCTTCGCTCATTTCAATACACTGTATCTATTTTGATCATTCATTAGCACGGCAGTTTGAAGGTCTTTATTTCCAAATTGTCGGTCTTCTCAGGTTTATATGCTCGAGTCAAGTACTGAAATTTGACTGTTTGATTGAAGGTGACGCCGAACGGGATGTGATGATGGATGACATGACGGGGTATTTCATAATTCACCTTGATTTTTGGAGTATTTTGTATTTTCGGTTGACAGAATCAAAACGACATTTCGTTCGTTCACATACACACGAATAATCGAACGATATCAACTGTTATAAAATACGAAAGAAGTAGTGATAGCATCCAAACGAACCTTCAGTTCGGTCGTAATTTCGACCGAACTTCGGAATTCTCCAGTTAGAATCCGAACTACAGGATTCTGATGGAGATTCGTCTGATTATTCCGATCAATTTTTCTGATCGGTCGGATGCCATTACTAGAACGAACAATCTTCTCTCTTCCGTACATTTGAGCTGTTCTTATGATTCTTTTCAAATGGATATCTTGGCGGGAAACTTACTAATGCCACATTCAAAATTACCGCGGCGTTTATTCGATTCAAAATTGAAAAAGATGAAATTAGTTGATCTGAGATCGATAGAATTGCCCCTGGAAGACGATTGAACTGGATTGTCATTGATTTTTCGNCCACCACGATGATCTCCAATGATGCTTGCCAACATTATCGGTGTGGTTAAACTCAGTAGAGAGACGTGTTTTCGGATCCATTAGTGGGTTTGGGTCCGATTATTATCGTCAGAATTCGATTTATTTATATCAGAGGAGACTACTTTGTCGCTTAGTCAAATGCAGTGGAGTTAGATGTAAAGTAATCGCTCAAAATTTGAACTATGCAATTCTGATTCGCGCATATATGCATATTTGCTCCTTCGGTTTTTTATTTGTGCTACTTTACATTGTAAAATATGTCAGCTATTTGTTCAGCTTGATAGTCTTGCATTGTAGTGATCTTTTGTGATATACAATATTACAAGAAAATGTATACCTACGAAAATTTCAGTTTTCGCTCCATAAAAAGCCGGAAATGTAGAGGAAATGCACAGCTATTGGAGTATTGGATTCTTTTTTTTCTATAGCTATTGGAGTATTGGATTCTTGCATTATGCGCGAATTTTCGTATTGATAACTGATCAATTTCTCGTGAGCATCAGGTGGTTAAATCACCACACATGTTCTTTTCAGGTGTTTTTGAAGGAGAGGTTGCTCACGAGAAAACGCTTATCTTTAAGAATCTGAAATCGTCGATTGACAAGATGATGCTGCGGAGTCGTAATACGAATGTAAACGTGACGACCAACAACCCCAAAGAACCTGTCAAGCGCCATGCCACTAATGCACAAGATGCGCATCCCAAACGCAAACGTGCGGGGCTTTCAGATCTTAGCAATGTTGGTTCTTTCTGAATTTGCATTTTTGTGACAGTGCAAAACTGTCAATAATCTAGAAAAGATAAACTTTAATGACTTTTGAATGTTTCATCTTTAGGCGATATCAAGTAACCTGATCATTGATTCGGGTAAGAAGGTCGTTGATAAGGATCAGCCACAGAAACGTCGTGGTGCAGCAAAGATCATCGAAGCAAAAGAGAAACCAGAGACCGTAGTAGAAGAATTAGATGAAGCAGCCGAAGGACCAATCAACAAACGGTTTATTCAAAGACCCTTTTATGTCTCGTCATTGCAACATTTAAATGCATTTTTTATGATCTAATCGCGTTATGTGAAAGGGTAATGTTCATTTACATTATAATCCTTTACAGTATAATTGCAAAAAAAATTTTGTATCTCGAAACAATGACGGAACGTTGAATTTTGTACTCAACTATAGAGTTTCTGAAACTGCAAAAAATTAACCTTAAAAGTGGATATTCCTAGACTCTCGAAGCTGCGTGATCCACCATCCGATGGTCAAGTTAGTGATGAAAGCGTTCTTCTACTTGAGGACTCAGCTGCTATTAAAGAGGTATGCACGCACTTTTTTCGGTATGAATCATCCATTGATAAACTTTGGAGCCTGTCAACTTGGTCGACGTTATGGTGTTAATAATGAGGTAAATAAAAACCAGTGTCGAAAGTTGCAGGTCGACGATCCATGTCCAGAATACGATTTCGACGCAGAAAGTGGCGATGATCCTTATGCAGTATCAATGTACGCATTCGATATATTCAAATATTACGTCTCACGTGAGGTCCGTCATGTTTTTATCCATTATCCATATTTTATTCACTCCAGATGTGCTTTTTGCTGTATTTTTTACCCGGAAACACTCCAGAAAACAAGCTCAAATTTTTTCACTGTAATGGAATGTTTCGGTTGTGCTTTGCATGATCTCCTTACATGCTTCCTAAAGAAACTAGATAAGTGAACTGTGAAGGGTATTTTATATGTTAAGGTGAAGCGAAAAAGATGAAAAGTTGAAATTTTAGAAGACTTTCCACGTTGGAGACTATCTCAAGAAGCAGCCACAAATAACGAAAGAGATGCGTGCTGTATTAGCTGATTGGATGGTGGAGGTGCAAGAAAGCTTTGAGCTTAACCATGAGACGCTCTACTTGGCGATGAAACTCACTGATCTCTTCCTCGATAGAACACCGAATATTGGCAGAGATGATCTGCAATTGATTGCATCCACAGCCATTTTCATTGCGTCGAAATTTGATGTGAGTTGAATCTCCATCTGATACAATCCTTTTTTTGGAACTTAATGACCAAGCAAACAAAATTTAATTGTATAATTCGGAATATTTCTTAATTGATGCTTATTTTTTAAGGAGCGTTCTCCACCGCTGATCGACGATTTTATGTACATCTGCGAGGATTCGTTCACTCGAGAAGCACTCATCACAATGGAACAAAATATGCTCAAGACGATTCGTTTCGATCTTGGAAGTCCACTTTCATATCGTTTCCTCCGCAGATATGCTAGAGTTCGTATTGGTTACATGCTCTTGTTCGTGATTAGATGGATCTGAATTTGAGCGAGTGATTTAGAGATACTTTACGACTGATTTGGCTGAACACTGACAATTAAGCGAGTTTTTGCAGGAGATGTAGTTCTGTTTGAGGTTTCAAGAATCAGTGGAGATTTGTTGGTTTCGTTTCAATTGTGTGAGCAAAAGTCGTGATGACGAACACTTTGAGCATTTATGACGAAACAATAAGTTTTTATTGATGTTTAATGTTATGATGAACATCAGGTGTGTAAAGTGGATATGGGAACATTGACATTGGCGCGTTACATTCTTGAGACGTCGCTGATGTTCTATGAATTCATCGGAGTTTCTGATAGTCTCATGGGTGCTGCATGTTTTCTGATGGCACTTCGTATGAAGAAACTTGGTGATTGGGTGAGTCAGTTATTCAAACATGGCTCGTTTTTCGGAATTGATTTTCGTTTGTAATGCGTAGAAGAATATTTTGTGAACGTAAAATATCCATCTCTGTGGAATTTTTAATAATTAATGAGCGTTTCAGAGTGCAATTTTACACAAGTATAGTGGCTATAAACTGGAAGAAGTGGAACCGTTAATGTGGAGATTGAATCATATGATGAGAATGAGGCCGAAGGTCTATGATCGCCTGGTGACAGCTCATAACAAATACAGTCACGAGTTAGTTATTACATTTCGTTCTCATTCGGTCAGTTTTTCATGACATGCAATCTTGATTATATAATCCGGTATAAGGGGCCTCTTTGTTGTCAAATGAATAATATTATACGCTGTTAAAATATTTTCAATGCTTTAATGATTACAGGGTGTTCTTTCACTCAGCATCCATACCGCTGTTGGATGACATATATGCAGACGATGAACCTGTCGGACCGCCTTCAACTCTCGGCTTTGTATCTGCCTGAATTTACCAACAATCATTTATGCCCCTCAGTTTTCTTATCCCTTAATTAATTTGTTTTTTAAATGCTTAGAATTTTAGATTATTGATGACAGCACATACGTCTGTGTTAGGTATCACTTCTCTGATTGGAGGAAAATTTTGTGATCATTTACTTGGTATAAAGGAGAAGTGTAGGTGGGAGGCAGCAATCTGTTTATATTATAGTAGTGCATTTTTTCTATATTTTCGTGGATTCAGTGGAGCTGTGCGATTAAAGATTCGGTTTACATTTCATTGAAATCATCGTTAATTTTGCTCATGAATTTTTATGAGCTCCAGATAAAACGAATTAGAATTTTTGCTCGTTATCGATTCTATCACAAACCATATTGGGTATTGATATCAATCGGTTTGTATGCGTGTTATATGATCTTTAATCCGTCGCAGTTTCTTGTTTTTCATTCCCCTTTTAACTGCCATTTGACTTTTGCTTCGCCTTGTACATGGTATCGTTCCAACCCTTCTTTTGTTGTAAATGACTATTTCTTGTTTTGAACTTAATATTTCACGTTTGTACTGTTGCAAGAAAACAATCATGTCATGTTTGCATTGTTTTCATATAATCATTTGTTCGTTCTCATATAATCATTTGTTTGTATCGTCTCAACGATTCCGTTTTAATAGAGCCTCTTGCAGTTATACTAGTTCAGTTTATCCTCAAATAATTTACTGATTCCTTCGATAATTCCTGTAACTTGGAATACGACTTGAATGCAGCTTTAACTGCAGCTCAGTTTGGTTCTTAATTTTATGCAGTGTTTTCATTTATTTGCTCCACTCGATTTTGTCTTGTTGCGTGCTTGTATTTAGTTGAATTGTTCAATATTTCCCTCATGTTCTTGCAATCGTATGTTTTATATCTGTTTGCCATGTCTTCAGTTATCCAACATTTTATGGACAAAAATTCTGTTGATCAATGATATTTACATTGATTGCTTCAGCCATCAACGGCATAGTAATTGTTTGTCTTGTGAACAGGTTTCACTTGAGTTGGTTTTTGGACGGTTGCATTGCTTTTGCTCAGCATGGATATTAGGTATTGGAACGAAAGCTTTAAAAAATTCATCTTGACTGAAGAGTTTTGTCAGTTCAACAGCACAGCAATGGCATGGTCAGACTTGCGTTGACCACTTCTACGGTTTAGCTGGTATGCAGGTTTTATTGTTATATTCGAAATGATTGTTGATTTTAAGTGATAACGTCGAATCAGTAAGCTAATGATCATCTTTTCTGTGTCTAAAAATTAGTATTATTCTAATTTGTGGCTGCCTTCGGAAGTGATTCATTAATGGTTTGTTGATGACGCGACGTTATTTGTTTTGGGTGAATGGTCATTGTATCGAATCACAACTGTTTGCTCTTTTTCACAACCTCAATTTATTTTATGTGGTTTATTTTCGAATTGTTATTACATAGAAACATTTCCACTTCGTCTTTATTTATGGTCATTTTGTTTATACTGATATGAAGGGTTGGTTTTTCATATACTGAACTGATTGCATTTATGAGACTAATGTTGTTTAATGAATAATTGATATTAATTTATTATCAGTTATGATAGTGATTTATTTACGTCATCATTATTTGTTCTCATCCAAATTGTCGTTTGATCTGTACATTGAAAGCTTTCTTATGCTTACTTATTGTTCAGCCAGTTTTAATTTTTATAGCCGTTGTTATTATTGCTGCTATGATCATTATTACTGTTGTTTCGATCCGCATTATCAGTTCTGTTCTCATTTGTTGATAAGCTAATCTTGAACGAATAATTTACTTGCATTTGTCTTGTTTAAGTTTGTTTCTTCGGTATTTCACGCTCTCGGAAAACATTCCCCAAGAAGTTGCAGTTTGTTCTAGGAAATTGCACGGTTCACAGCTTTTTAATCCATGCTGTAACATTCGATATGGAAGGCATGTGAATCATGGAAATGAACATTTAATCGCATGTTAATGATTCGGGGAATAGTACATTTGATGAATATACACCTCATGGCGCGTTACGGGAATCAGGGATTTTTCTTTGATAGCATATGTTTTTGTCGATAAACAAAGACGTGTGTGATATGTAGGGAATACAAAAAAGTGGCTTTATTGATGAGTTCTGAGAATACGAGAGTCCTGATCATGTCCTATTCATTAGTTCAAGTCAACAGAGATTGTAGAGGGCAATGTGCCTTCAGGGTAGAATTCCTGTTCTGTGGGATACAACTTCTACATTCTGACGAATGTGGTTGTTGTATCGTGAGGAAGAGAAATTTCCTAACAGATGAAAAAAAAACGCTTTTCAAAACTTGTATGAAGTGCATTGCCCTATATGAATATGAGGAGTTCCTGTGAAGGTTTTTCCAACTTAAACACTAATGTTCATCAGAGAATTCCCCGATTTTTTGGTTGCAGTCCCAGTGGACGAATTGCCCCTCGCCAGGTCCCCTTCCGGCTAATTTGCTGCTCGTAGGGCACAGCATTAGCACGCCGACATTCCGGATCCACTTACATCAAACTGCAATTTATGTCCAAGTTTAGGCGCACTATTAGGCGTACAAGCGGTGAAAAAAACATCTGTATTATTGCTGCATTCGTACGTTGGTGGTCGTGCGGTGTGAGTCGATGCACAGTATCAGCTATTGAGCAAACACATAGCAGTTATACGCAAATTGTCGAACGACAGAAACCTAATTTGAACTCTGAGCTGCTCTGTAAATGAGGCTTCATGTGAACACATCTCAGCACTTTATAATTTCATCCAATTACATTTAACATAAGATGAAAAGATGTTCAGAAAGCGCTTAATGTGAAAGAAACAATCAAATGAAATGAAGAAGTCAAGAAATTAATCAGGTTATTGTTATGAACAGCAACAGAAATTAGCATGATCTCGTCCACTTGCGGATGGTACAATGAAATGCGGAAATATTGTTATTATTATTACTATTATTATTATTATTATTATTATTATTAT